GAACCATTTGACCCTTTCTGAAATGTTATAGTTGAATTTATGGACTAAAAACGTATCTGAGTTTACAGTTTAGAACAGAATAATAAACATTAACTATACACAATAAAACCATTTTCTCCAAAAAAGCATTTGAAATGTATGTAAAAGTAAGAACCTTTTGTTTGCAGTCTCACAGTTAAAAAAAACTGGACAAAAAAGAATTGGTTTTGTTAAATGTATTATACTGTAGTGGAAATTATATGCAAATACAGCTTTTATAACACTGAAAAATCTTGAATTAGACTTTTTTCCCTTTTTGTTTAAGAACAATTCTAAGGTATTTTGTTATTTTTTTTGGTTAAAGTTACAAAGACTGCATATACACTATATTGCCAAAAGTATTTGCTCACCTGCCTTGACTCACATATGAGCTTAAGTGACATCCCGTTCCTAATCCATAGGGTTCAATATGACGTCGGTCCACCCTTTGCAGCTAGAACAGCTTCAACTCTTCTGGGAAGGCTGTCCACAAGGTTTAGGAGTGTGTTTATGGGAATTTTTGACCATTCTTCCAGAAGCGCATTTGTGAGGTCGCACACTGATGTTGGACGAGAAGGCCTGGCTCTCAGTCTCCGCTCTAATTCATCCCAAAGGTGTTCTATCGGGTTGAGGTCAGGACTCTGTGCAGGCCAGTCAAGTTCATCCACACCATACTCTGTCATCCATGTCTTTATGGACCTTGCTTTGTGCACTGGTGCACAGTCATGTTGGAAGAGGAAGGGGCCAGCTCCAAACTGTTCCCACAAAGTTGGGAGCATGGAATTGTCCAAAATGTCTTGGGATGCTGAAGCATTCAGAGTTCCTTTCACTGGAACTAAGGGGCCAAGCCCAGCTCCTGAAAAACAACCTCACACCATAATCCCCCCTCCACCAAACTTTACACTTGGCACAATGCAGTCAGACAAGTACCGTTCTCCTGGCAACCGCCAAACCCAGACCCGTCCATCAGATTGCCAGATGGAGAAGCGCGATTCGTCACTCCAGAGAACGCGTCTCCACTGCTCTAGAGTCCAGTGGCGGCGTGCTTTACACCACCGCATCCGACGCTTTGCATTGCACTTGGTGATGTATGGCTTGGATGCAGCTGCTCGACCATGGAAACCCATTCCATGAAGCTCTCTGCGCACTGTTCTTGAGCTAATCTGAAGGCCACATGAAGTTTGGAGGTCTGTAGTGATTGACTCTGCAGAAAGTTGGCGACCTCTTCGCACTATGCGCGTCAGCATCCGCTGACCCCGCTCCGTCAGTTTACGTGGCCTACCACTTCGTGGCTGAGTTGCTGTCGTTCCCAAACACTTCCATTTTCTTATAATACAGCTGACAGTTGACTGTGGAATATTTAGGAGCGAGGAAATTTCACGACTGGATTTGTTGCACAGGTGGCATCCTATCACAGTTCCACGCTGGAATTCACTGAGCTCCTGAGAGCGACCCATTCTTTCACAAATGTTTGTAAAAACAGTCTGCATGCCTAGGTGCTTGAATTTATACACCTGTGGCCATGGAAGTGATTGGAACACCTGATTCCAATAATTTGGATGGGTGAGCAAATACTTTTGGCAATATAGTGTACTTCACCTCTGCGCTTGTGTTTGGGTGTTAATTCTTGGAATGAGGCACCCTAAGAGGGTCATTAGGTTTGAAATACTCTGGAACGGGGAACCCCTTCTGAGTTTCTTAGATACTCTAAACAAAGAAAGACAATGTTGTTGCTCTTGTTTAAATTTGTTACAAGAAGTCTTTGGAGTCAGACTCCCTTTTGCTGAGTTTCTTATTTACTATTCAGATATTCTGCCAAGTAAGCTGCCTCCGTATAACATTAGTATAACAACCAGAATCACCAAGAAGTGTTTCTTAATGCTTGGATCCTGCAGCAAGGACAGAGTTAAACCACCTCTACCATGGCTGGTGCGAGTATAACCACGCCGTATTTTTAAACAAAGTCTTCATCTAATGCTGACAGCCCATCAGTCCGATCACTACACCATAACTTGTTTTTTGTGTTGCTGTGTTGAAGATGGCAAATAAGCACAATGTCTACGTATAAAATAGCCTTGTTTATTATTTAGTCACTTTTTATCGATTGTCTCCACACTTGCCACAGTTTGGGACATACAGTCATAGCTAAAAGAAAGTTTTGGGTTTGCAGTGTTTTTACAGCATTTTGGTGATTATGACAATCTTAGAAATTAATTATAGATACATTCTTCAGTTTATAGATTTGACAAATTTAGAATTTATTTATTAAACTCATATAGAAAACACTCTGTTTAGCAACATCTTTATTTTGTTTATGCATACAACAATGCAAATAAATGTCTTGTCTGTGTTTTGCTCTTATGAAACAAGTATCCTCAGCTCTTATGAGCTGGATTGTCATGTCTGTTATTATTGACCATTATCTTGGTCCAAGTTCAGCTCTGCCTTGATTAGATTAATGTATTAAAAAGGTTCCAATTGGGATGACAAGATGCAATCGAGACTTTGAAGACTTTTGTTATACAGAGAGGTGTATGGCTCCCTCAAACACTGCTGGGTACCCAGGTTCTGTAGTCACAAAAAAGCCCATCATCCCTCCTTCACCGGTATAGGTACTGGTTTATATGAGGTATTTATGTAAAAAAAAAAAAAAAGATGCGTGTTATGACTCAACATCCCTACTTGATTTTTGTTTGGTCATTGGTTTACCTTTAGAAATCCTCGATTCAGATGCAGCGTTGCAATCATTAATGAAGCTTAAATGTTAATTTTACAGAAAAAAGGCTGTCTTGTTCTGGCAGCTGTTGCAACAACCCTAACATAATCAGCCTTTTGCTAATCATGCTAAAATCTGCTGTAACATGTAACTGGCTGATTGAGGCCTTTAGAGTCTGATAGGGAGCTCTTTAGGCTTTTGAAAGCAATGCATGTTCTAACATGGAAAATTTGCTTGGATGTTCACTTTTTGGATTAAAAAGATTAGATTAATCTTGAAATAGTTTAAAATGACCTTAAAAGCCTCCTAAGATTAAGTGGCAACAATTGCCTCTTTAAGATAATTGACGGTCACTCTGCTCTTCTGCATGGGCCCACATCTGCAAAAAACTCTTTCTTAGAGGTGATCACTGTGATGATGGTCAATTAATCACGTGCACTGGATTAGCAGCATTTAGCTCCAACATTGTTTGTTCAACAACTTCACTTTATTTATGAGAACAATTATTAAGGAATGCAAACCATACTATGTTATTCACAATGTGTGAACTAAACGGTTTTAGACACGAATTGTAAAATATAAGCATTGAACTGACTGAGAAGGCTCTGTTGCATGCAGAGAAGGTGCTTTATATACACAAACACAGCTGCAATAAAGAATGTGTTTTCATCTAGATTCATCTAGATCAGATTAGATTCATCTAATTCTAATTAAAACAACTGCAATTGAATTTGTGTTGTAAATGCCACTGATTTACTGTATATATTAGAGTATAAGTAAGTTTTGCAAAATATTTCTAACACTGATAACAGGATCCTAAACTGCCTTTATACTAAACATCTGATGAATCTTCCACCCTGTGTAGTTACAAAAAAACCTGTTTTTACAGCTGAGCAGTTCCAAATAACAGTAGTTCTGTCAAGCTTTGAAGAAATCTCAAACGGAAAGCATACCAACCTTGCAGCTTCTGCCTCTTTCTTCTTTTAGTTCTGCTAGTTCTGCTGTCCTAATGAATGTAGTTAGGGTTCACTAGCAACAGAGAATGCGCTCAAATCCCTTCATTATGGCTCTCCAGTATGTGCTCCCTGCTGGTTCCAAGTAGAAAGCTGGGTCCTTCCCAAACAGCTGAGCCTTTCACATTCAAAACATCTCTCCCTGCTCAGTGGTAAATAGGGACGTGGGCATGGCAGACAGAACGCAGTGAGAGGAGGGTAGAGATAGTGGGAATAAAGGCCACTGATTAAAGCAGCTCCAAGCAGAGGGGCAGGTAAACATGTGTTCAATGAGTAAGCTATCCATGGGACTTTGATCAGGGACACACTAACTAACCTCTGTTCCTCAAAGTGAGCAACCCTACTGTAAAGTATTTAATCATACATTTTGAATGCACTGTAAGCATGTTTGCTGTCAAACCTAATTATGTCACTCATTACTGATTTTTAAAAAGATGCTTTAACCAACTGGAAATGCTGTAATGATTGTTTGGCTGGCAGAATTTTTAATTGGAACCCTGGAATCTAGACATAAAACCTTAAAGACTGAAAGTATCAGCAAAATGGAAAATCTATATATATATATATATATATATATATATATATATATATATATATATATATATATATATATATATATATATATATATATATATATATTTTTTATTTTTTTTTTTTTTTTCCTCTAGAAAATTGCACATATATATGTACATATATATGTAAATATATATAAATATATATATATATATATATATATATATATATATATATATATATATATATATATATATATATATATATATTTGTAGGCAATTCCTTAATATACATTAGAGCCACTTAAGCCACTTAAAGGAATTTTAATGTAAAAGTACATATTGAGATATGAACAAACATTTATATTTTTAAGTACTTTTCTTAGTTCAAACTGCCGTGAGTTGGGTTATGCAGTTTGAATGGGGTATTTCTCCTGTTACATGATTGCCTTTATTGAACTGAAAGCACTGTAAAAGGCACCAGGTTGGACATCTAAGCGGATGGGCTGCTCTGAATTTATGAAAGACAAAAATTAAATGAAGGGAAGAAAGAAGATTGTGGAAAATGCAAACAAAAAAACGTGGCAACAATGACAAAAAACAGGAATAATCATTTCTAAAAAGGCAGTGAACTGGATTTTCTGATCAGCTATTATGTAGTGCAAAATTAGCTTTTACCTGGAAAAAAAACAAAACAAACACACAATATTATTAATGAAATCATCATTTTATGCTCTTTAGCAACAGTCTTCCTGGAATTCTGGAAAAGACGGAGAGCTGTCCTGGCATATGACTGGGATCTTATTGACTGGGAGGAAGAAGAGGTAAAATATATTCCCTTCATCTCTACTCCTTGTTATCTGTATTGTTCTTTAGGAAGCTAAGATTTGCATTCTTTTTATCAGGTATTACTTTCTGATATATTTACACTTTGTTTTTTGTCCTTTAGGATGAAATAAGACCCCAATTTGAGGCCAAATACTCCAAGAAGGAAAGGATGAACCCTATATCTGGAAAGCCAGAGCCTTACCAGGCCTTCACTGAAAAATACAGTCGCCTACTTGTTTCATCGTCCGGAATATTCTTCATGGTGGGTTTATGAGACATTCTTTAAATCTAAACATGTCTAACACCTTCTAATGTTTTAAAAATTGTCTATTACAAAGGTTTGAAACATTTGTAGTACAAATAGTATAAACACGTGATTTTTCATTTGAATTTACATTTGAAGCTAACTTTTTGGCAGTAGGAAATGTTTAATCTCAAATTAAAGGAGGCTAATTAATTGTTTTAACATGATGTTAAATAGGCTGGAAAGAGCCAATAAGAAGCTAGAAAGAGGCAACTGGTAGAAATCACAACAAAACAAAAACTTTTTTAATAAGCAGAGAGCAACAAAAACACAGGCACTAGTTATTATTTATTTAATCATATGTTTTCCCCTTTAAAAGAACATCTCTAAATTAAGGGGTTCTTTGAGATGCTAGTCACAAAAACGGTGTAATACCGATTCTGTGCCAGCAAGTGGCAGCAAAATTGGATCCTGATTGTAAAGCAGTCCTAGACTAATGCTACATTCAGACCACAGGTGATAGAGGCAGAAGAAGCGGCTAGTTTACATGCAAAGCCTTTTGTTGACGCGCATCAACGAGCATCAAAAGGTCCTGCACTGCATCTAGAGCAACGGGAGCAGTGCATCTTGACGCGTCTGAGCAGCTGCATGAGCATCTAACCTACGGGGCGCTGCACACAAAAAAAAAAAAAGCTAGAGTTGGAAAAATTTTACTTTTGCTGCCCCTCATCAACCAATCAGAGAAGCTGATCTGGGAGCTGACAAGGAGACAGACACAGCACAGCTAATGCAGATTGCTATGATCACTCCCCTGAAACAGTTTATTAACGTCTAAATTAACTTAAAATGTCAAAACCTGCTGGCAAAATATGTTCGATTTTATTATTCTAGTTCCTGCAGTTTGGATTACGTACATGAAAAAAAAAACACCTTCCAGCTGCCGGGAACAGTAGCTGAAATTCCTCAAGAGCAACTGGGCCAGAGGCTGCCTTTGAAGGGGATTTCCAGTGACAGCTCCGCTGGTGTACGGGGGTCAGAGCTAGTCCAAGAGCGAAATAATATTTTAAGGCAGGATCGTAATCTTTATGAACTGCACAGAAGAAGTGTTCATGTGGACTTTCACACTTAAAAACATATTAAAACTACTTTTCACCCACTTATAACAGCAAATATAGCAAAGCAAATTGAACACAGGAGCAGCAGAAGCATCAGCCACATCTTGACACACTTTATTAGATGCACTTCAGGAGTGTCAAGGATGCACTTGAGGTGCCTCTGACCTTAATGCCGCGGTTCTCAAAGTGTGTGGCGCGACCCACTGGTGGGGAATTGAGACGTGACAGGTGGGGCGCGCCAAGTTCCGGTGTGTGTGTGTGTGTGTGTGTGACTATAACGTGTGAGAGCAAACTGTCCTTATAGCTGTATGTTGCCGCTTTTTAGACCAATCAAACCCACAAAGTAATCATTACTAGCCTACATGCAGTCTAATTAAAAGAACATTAGATATGAGAAACATTTCACCTGGAACTGAAGTGCCAAAATAATGATTGACGTGACGTCGGCATATTATTTGTAACGGAATAAACTTTCGCGCCCCAGTGTTGCCAACTCAGCGACTTTGTCGCCATATTTCAGACCCTCCAGCGACTCTTTTTCAAAAAAGCGACTAGCGACAAATCTAGCGACTTTTGGAGAACATACTCCGTCAGCGCTCCGCTCCGCCCCGCTGCGCTCCAGACCGCCTGCACAAAGCAAAGCCTATAGCCGCCGCTGTCCCCTCCGCTCCGCTCTGAGTTCCTTGGAGATCGTAGAGGGCATGCGCCAGATGAACCAGGGTTTCCGCGGATCAGTAAAAATAATTACAATTCATAATTCTTTTTTTAATCAAGCCCTTAATTGGCACTAAAATTAATTAAATATGTTTATCGTTGCATTTATGATTCTTTAATAAAAATGCTTTTAAAAACAATTTCGTCAGATATATTATATCGCTATTAATTTGCGTGGAACTGTTTATAAAGCCGTATGTTCGGAAAGGAAGCTCGAGGCGGAGAAAAAGCTAGAGAATATATATACGTATATATGTGTGTGTGTATGTGTGTGTGTTTACATACATACAGGAGTCATGGAACTCTGCTTACAGCTCCATATTTCATGTACACTAATAACTTGTGTACATGGTTCTTGTTAATGGCATTAAAATCATTTCAAATAGCATTAAAATAGCATTAAATTAGAGTCACTCATTCCTGTATGAACCCTGTGAGCGCTTAATTTAATATGACATATTAAAAAAATCCCACCATCATCCAGCATATGTTCAGTTTCTGCCCAAATATATATATATATATATATATATATATATATATATATATATATATATATATATATATATATATATATTTTTGTAGATTTTTGTAACAGAGATAGGGATAATTCAAAACTGCTTTTTTTTTTTATGAACTTGTTCTCTACAACTCAGCATCTCTTTTCATTCATGTAATAAGAAGTTTCTTTTGAATGGATTTGATTAAACTTTAAGTCCCTCGGTATAAAATAAATGTTTTAATGGAGATGAGAAATCTGCTTCCTGGTTGGTGAATAACCAATAGTTTGCATCCAATCATTTACGGTGTTAGTTTTTTTTTTTATATATAAGAATTGTGCTATAATTTCTAGTCACCGATCTGTTGCTACTATATTTTAATTTGACGAACCGGAATTTGTCGAGGTTCTTTTTCCTGTTTGGTGCGATTGCAATTGCGGATCTTGACCTGGCCGGACCGGAGCGGAGCAAAAAATAGCTCGGCTCCGTAATTTGTCAGTGACGGACGGAGAAGACGTACGTGGACGGAGACGTGCGGAGGAGTAGCGGTGGATGTGGAACAGCTCTCATTGATTTCCATGAAAGACAAGAGTATGTGGAATCTGGGGGTTACGGGAAAGCACGTATCGTTCCTTTTCTTGTCCTGCTGCCGTGGGGCGCCTCCCCCGTCCCAACCCCGTTCTCCCCCGCTATCGCAGGAGTCCCTCTCAGCGCTGCAGTCAGAGACACAGCACGTTTACCCTCAGCGTCCAGACTGCAAATGAAGCGCACATGCGCCGGGATTGACGGCGCAGGTTGATCATAAATAACTGAATTTGAAATATTTTATCTTAAATAAATAACGGCGTTTGATTCACACAGCCACATGTTCATGTGTTCATGTTTCTGGTTTGGAGTGGAGAGGGAGTATCCACTCATCGGGCAGAGAGCTGTGTCCATTCTTCTTCCCTTTGCCACATATCTCTGTGAGATGGGCTTTTCAGCTGTTGCTTCACTGAAAACAAAATAGAGATCTCAGCTGAACATTGAGCATGACTTGAGAGTTGCAGTATTGAGCCTGCAACCCCGTTTTGAGAAACTGCAATGCAAAACAGGCTCATTGCAGCCACTAATGCAGGGATAAATAGACCTGTCTTGCCAGATGGATTTCACTTCTTTTCTTTTATTAACAGATTGCAGAGTGGCACTTTAATTTTTTCTATCTTTGAGCTTGATACAAATTTTGACACAGCTGCATTTTTATTTTCTTTATTTTTGAGCTTGCTGTTATTTGATGTAGATAGTTTGTATTTAGATACTACTTGTTACTTCAATAAAATTGGAACATTTTAAGATTGTTTCATATTTCATTAGCATTGTGTTGGGGCGATGGGGACAGGCGGGGCTTGAAAATTCCCCCTTGTCCAAAGTGGGGAATGACAGAAAAAGTTTGAGAACCACTGCCTTAATGTGAACAAGCAGCAAAAATGAAGCAGCAAAAGCTTCTTTGTTGCTTCCAGGGCTTGCGGTCTGAACATAGCATTAGTTATCATGGACAGCAACAGAGTTGGGATAGAGTGAGAGTCATTTTGGGGTCAAAAATAAAAATATTTAAAAAAAACTTCCTAGCACAGAACAATGTGCTAACATTTAAAAGCGGATCATCGTATCATTTTAAATAGTCTACAGTGAATCTACAGGAAGGGTAAATCTAGGATTTATTTTTAAATTTGCAATAATATCTGTGTTAATGTGGACAGTTATGTGGAAGTCAAAGATAAATAGACCAAACGTTAAGCAGTCAGAATTAAACTGTTGACCTTTCTGTATTTAGAGCTTCTAGTTTTAGAGCTTCCAGTCTGAATCTGAACTACAGCGCCCCCATCTGGGAGAGTCAGAGATATGGAGCAGCCCCAGGTTTAGTATATGGCTTAAATGTCAATATGTATAAAATAAATCTATTACTGTCTTGTATGTAGATGACTTTGAATTCTGCTACAATCTAGCTATAAACCTGATTTACAAAAGTTGTTAGCCTCTATTTGTTAGCAGCACAACAATTAGCAAACCTAATCTTTTCTTAATTGCACCTACAACACCCTAAACTGATTAGTAATGCCATTTACAGCTTTGGTCTCTGAGTGGAAACACATAATCTTTACTTATTGGATGCAGCGTGTGACAATTTTGAAGACTGTTAGCTGTAGAACAGTTCAGTTTTAAAAAATTTCTTTAACTTAAATATTTTAGATATTTATTTGTATCTATATGGCTGTAATGTTACTTTTAGTCAAAACTGACATCTTAATTTGTTCTTTTAATTTGTTGCTCATTTAATCCAATATTTTATTTGGATCTTTGATATAAAAGTTTGTAAACTATCTGTCTGTCTGTCTGTCTGTAAGTTTTATCCATTTTAAGACTTTATGTGACTGCCTGATCCCATCAGTGCCACCGCTTCATCTCATTTACCTTCAGTCTCTTAGCAACTATCATTTTTTTAAAGGTTTAAATAACATAAAGCTAGAAGAGCCATAAAGATAGAAGTATTAAAGTAAAACTCACCAGCTTTTATGTATATTACATTCTTTTTTTTTTTATTCTGACCTCAAAGATACTGGTGGTGATTGCTGCTGTGTTTGGCATTGTGATTTACCGTGTGATCACGGTCAGCACCTTCGCTGCTTTTGGCTGGGCGCTCATCAGGAATAACTCTCAGGTGGCAACCACAGGCACTGCAGTCTGCATCAACTTCTGTGTCATTATGCTTCTCAACGTGGTAAGTTACGCATGCTTTACTAATCTCTGCAGCAGGAAAAACAGGCACTTTTGTTTCAATACAAACTCTACTGTGTTATAGTGCAGTCTCTCCTGCAATAGTGGTTTATTTTCAGTTGAACATTTCTAGAGTCTGTTACATCACAATACCTTAGTAGTTTGCACTATATTGAATTTTATTTTAAATAAAAATCTGAAAAGTGTGCTTTGCATTCAGATAGGAAATTCAGAACCAGTCTGTCGCAGGGCAACACAGAGACAAACACACTCACATATAAGGAGAATTTAGAGAAGCCAGTTAACCTAACAGTCATGTTTTTTGGAATGTGGGAGGAAGCCGGGGTATGCAGACAGAACCCATGCATGCAAAGGGAGTCAAACTCCATGCAGAAAGATCCCTGACCAGGAATCAAACCTGAAACCTTACTGCAAGGCAGCAGTGCCACCCACTGTCCCACTGTGCTGCCATGATTTATTGCTTATTATCTTCAGCTATAATTAAGCTATATTTTTATAGTGACTTTCTACACCAGTATTGCACATCTAGAATCTGAATTCTTTGCCCATTCCTCTTTCCAGAACAGATTAATCTTGGTCAGCATCGATTTTGAGGTTTTGTCAGAGGATCTTATATTGCTTTGCTTATTGACTTTGACTGTCAAACCAAACAAAACAATGTAGTTTAACCTTTTCATTGGAGATCTGGCTATGGGATTAGGATGCTATCCTGCTGGACGTGGGACCTTCTCTTTAGTTTCAAGTCTTTTGTTGCCTTTAATACATTTTCTTTCATGGTATCCTGTATTAAGATCAGTCTGTATTTCCATTTAATCTGACCAGTTTCCAAGGGCTTGTTAAAGAAATGTAGCCTCACATCATGATACTGCCTCCACCATGTTTTTATAGTGGTTTATCTCAGGTCATACACTGGATTTGAAAACACTCAGTATTTGGCAAATAATTTAATTTGTCCTTTTTTGGCTTGAGCACTCTCTTGCATGTTTACCCTGTCCCTCACTTGCATTTAAGAATACTTTCAAATTGGACTTCTTATGATGTTCCTCAAACAATCGGTCTTGTTTCTCCTCCATGAATTCTATGCAGTTTTGGAAAATTAAAGGTCTGCATCAATGTTGTTAAATAAAATGTTAAATATGCTTATGAACAAGTTTTATGAACAAGTCTGAAATCACATTTAGCTCCTTCTTCAATAGAACATTTTCATTGTTTTCTTCATTGTTAGTATTGGAGTTTTACTTAATTCAGGTATTAAAAGAGGGTGACAAACTGCAACATCAAGAAATTAACTGTTTCTATGAAACCCTGATAGAATTTCTCTTCTGTCTCTAAAATGATGTGCTTTAATTCACCTGGGTGCCACAGTAATCTCAACGGTCTTAGAATGCCTACAATTGTTTTCCTTTTAACTGACCATGCAGAAACCTTGCAATCATAAAGGCCAGAATAAAGACTTAGGGAGTGAACTAGCAATAAATCTCTCATGCTTGCTGTCTCTGTGCAGCTTCCCCAAAATAACGATGGGCCTCTGCAATACAGGGATTTAATTATCCCCTATCTAGCCATTAGGTGAATCAGAGGGCAGTTGTTTGTTCTACATTTTATCCAGGGGTATCAGCCTAGAGGTGGATATGTCTAACTGCATGCCAAACTGTTCAGTGTTTCATTTTTTTGGCATTTTGCACTCATGCAAAACTACTATTACTATTATGTAAGCATTTGCATGTTTAGTTATGTCAGTAAAATGTTTTATAACTTCTCTGTTTTTCCACAGCTTTATGAAAAAGTTGCTCTTTTCCTCACAAATTTAGGTGAGTCCACGTTAAGATGTTTTTAAGTAGTAGTCATAAATATCGCTGTGTCTTTCAACTTGATTTATCCTTCAGGATGTTGGCATCCTACAAATTGGAAATGTAAACAAACTGCTTGCATCTTATAGATTTGGTAAAGAACTTGTGAATTCTTGAGTTTTTTTAGTGCTCCGTCTTTAATTTTTCTCTTATTTGTGACTACAGAGCAGCCGAGGACCGAGTCAGAGTGGGAGAACAGTTTTACCTTCAAGATGTTCCTTTTCCAGTTCGTCAATCTCAACAGCTCAACCTTCTACATCGCTTTCTTTTTGGGAAGGTGAGGAAACTGTCTACAAGTGCTTTAAGTAAAGACACCTGCATAAAATGGATCTTACAATGCTACACAACTAGATTTAGAAAAAAAAAGAGAAGCAAAAGCATAAACTGAACCTAACTTGCAAAATTAAAAAGAAAATTGGTAAAATATATAAAAAAGGGAACAAATAAAAGTAATATTAATGATGCAAAGATTTAAACATGTTTGCAATCAATCTAGAGATCTTATTTCATGATTTCAAACTAGTGCAAAAGAATAAACCACAACCTTGTCTTTGTGTGTATTCTTCATTGTTAAACTTAGACTTAGAGAGAGATTTTACTTTGTCATTTTGTGCATACAAGTGTATAGAAAAAGAACTTTTGTGTGCAGCCTTGATAAGGTAAGCAGAAAAGCATAAAGCATAAAAACACTGATGAAAAAACTCACTGTGGTGAAAAAAATTAATGATGTAAACATAGTTACACTGTATAGTTACAGTTCCAACATTCAGGGTTTTTTTATAACCCATTTTACCGGTAAATAACATTCAGCAGTCTAATGGCAGTGGGGAAGAAAGTGTTCTGGAATCTGCTGGACTTGCATTGAATGCTGTAAAGCCTCTTCCCAGAGGGCAGCAGGGAGAACAGTCTATGGTGGGGGTGTGAGGGGTCAATTATGATGTTACAGGCTCGGGACACGCAGCACTGGGAGGAAATGTCTTTAATGGAGTGATGAGGAGCCCTGATGATCTTCTCTGCTGTTCTCACCACTCTTCCTCTAGTCTGAGGAGCTGCAGCCTCCACACCACACAGTGAGACAGCTGGTCAGAACGCTCTCTATGGTGCTTCTGTAGAAGGTGGTGAGGATGGGTGGGGGCAGGTGGGCTCTCCTCATCCTCCGCAGAACGAGGAAAAGTCACCACCCCCTTTTGGTGGTTTTGGGATATAGCAACCTAATTAAACAAAAATCTTTTTTTTTTTTTTTTGATTAAATAAAACCATAAAGAGCAGACATAATATTCCTTATATGCAGGAAAACACACAGCATAGTTTTTTACATTCATGATCTGAATCATCTGCCATTTGGCTAAGTGTTAACTAAGCATTATTTCAAGTGCATTAATTATTCTTTTTATCTCATTTGATATAATCCTGTTTGGAAACAACTAATATCAGTTAAAAAGCTAACATATGTAGTTCCATGAATTAGATCAAACAGATATTTGTTACACTGACTTGATCATCATCCACAATTTTATTTGTAGAGGGCTTTAAAACATCTACAACTGAAAACAAAGTGCTGAACATAGCTAAACATAATAAAACATGATAAAATAATAAAATTCAGCATAAAAATATAAAATAAGGCAATAATAAGAATTTGTTTAAGCTTTAGGGGAGTGTTGGCCTAGTGTTCAGAAAATACTAGATGATTATTTCCAAAACTTTGACTGTGGTTTTCAGGAATATTATCTTATTGACAGATTCACTGGTCGGCCAGGTGCATATCTACGCCTCATCAATCGCTGGAAATTGGAGGAAGTGAGTAATGAGGTTTTGTTTGTTTTGTTTTTTCCTGAGGGAGCATTTCAGAGTTATGAATTTATAAAGTTAGAAATTAGACATTGTGCTATTACTGTATGCCCAGACAAAAAAGCATTTAACCCTAATCATCAATAAGTGGTACTTTGGGGAACATGCAAGGAAAAAAATAGATACTGAAGTAGTCTACTGGGATAAAAGACACTTTTCACTGATGCGTTAATGTACTCCCACTTGTGATTCTGCAGCTGCAGAACTGGAGAACTCCTTTGTAATAAGAAAAATAGTATAAAGTGGAGTCCTAGTCTGCCTTTTGTTTTGCAGAAAAATGACTGACCTGGGAGAACTCACTGTTGCTTTTTGTACATTTTCTGTAAAAAGCAAAAAATTGCAAGCATAAATCTTCCCCAAAGTAAGGATGACAGTGACAGATTCTTGAGAAAAATGTTTCTAAAAATATGTATTTTCCAACGTACTGATATGCTTTATGTTTCAAACTCAGAGTTACTAATTAAACCCAGCATATGAATGATAACTCTTTCTTTGTTTTCATTTTTATTTTCATAATTGCTGATCTGATTTGTTTTTGTTCCGCTGCAGTGCCATCCCAGCGGTTGTCTGATTGACCTCTGTATGCAGATGGGCATCATTATGGTACTAAAACAGACATGGAACAACTTCATGGAGCTTGGCTACCCGTAGGTTCTGGTCCTTTTTTCGTTTTTCTCAACTTTTGTCTTATCTTTTGCATATTTAGAAGATCCTTATGCTCTTGTTGAGAACATCACAGTTTATGACCCATTGCCATTGTTTTATTGTCCCCCTTTCAAACCAAAACAATCAGGTTTTTTCTAACTTCTTTATACCAAACTAAAACATAACACAGCAGGAAAAACCCACCATTACTTAGATAGTCTCTCCATGATGTTCAAGATGCAACAAGAGCAAAATGCCTCCCCATTGCACATGATGTAAGACAAGAGTGTTTAACCTAAGGATTGTTTAGTGATACTTTTTTGGTGAGATATTGGGGACAAAATTATTCAGTTGGCAGCATGCCTACCTCCTGGGTGTGATGTGGAAGTACAGTTATCACCACCAACCACCTTTCAAATAGAAATCAATATTGTCTAATGAGGGGGTTTCCAAACTATATAAAAAGCACACGACTCCAAATTGTGCATACAACTACTGGTTAATGGTGGAAATTGTACAGGCAACAAATTAAAAATAAAATCTACGATTAGTGAAAAGAACAAAACTGAATAACATTTGCATTCTCTGTGTCCCTCACTAAGAGTGATCAGTTTCTTGGATATGCAAACACATAACTTTTCAATGAAATTTCTTTGGTGCAGGATGATACACTTTAAGACACTATGAACCTCTAATAGTGCTAAAAAGGCTGTTTTCAGTCTGACAGGGTTTGTCTCTTAACAGCAATGCTGAAACTGATGGTAGAGGTGTATAAACCTTCTGTGTAAAAAAAAAAGGGCAATTCCAAACACAATGAATTAACATACTGATATAAATATGATATCTATGGTCAGGGCCCATGAGAAAGCAATAAGAAAAATGTATTTAATTAGTATCAACATCACAGTACCTAGATAGGATGTATACGGTGGCCTAGGTTGTCCAAAGTTTTACACAATTCAGCACCATTCAAGGCAATGGTTCCTGGAGACATTGGGGCAGTACTGATCTTATGTGAAAGGGATCTTAAAGAATATGGCTGATGAAAACTGTTGTTTTTTGCTGCTAAATATAATTTCTAAGCTATGCTAAGCTCTAAGCATGGCGTGGGCTCTTTGTCAACTTTTATCAGGTTTAATTTAGTCTGTTTTTAATCTTTGATTGTTGCATCATGGATCTGGAGGAAAGTGTTAACGCCAACAGCTTCTATTTGGTGATCTAAAAAAGATGCTCCAATGAGATGCTATCGTATATTTCACTCATGCCACGCTGACGCGCTTTAATTCAAGTTATTAAAAAAATTATCGATAGCAAAACAGCACTTTTCAAGACTATTGAAAAAGAAACAATAATAAAAAAAAAAAAAAATAAGATCCCAGATGATGACAGACCACTGCAGAGACAACAAATGACCTGACTGCAGTACTGCCATCTGCTGGCATCATGCATTACAGAGGAAAAAAATGAAAACAGCGGCCAGAAACTGGACCTCATATTAATGCTTTTAGGACACAAATAAGGCACGTAACTCCTCCTCCACTGCGTGGTGCCTGCGCCATCTTTGTTATTAGTCACCGCTGTCAGGTTGCGACAGCCTATGGTGACAGCGGGCTGCTGTGACAGCAAGTAATGTTTGCAAGGAGAGCTCTCCCCGAAAAGCATTCTAGGATAAATTTGACTCTTCTGAGGCCTTTCTCTGCTTCTCATACACTTTGTAGACTCTTTTTCCCTTACGACCATTGGCCATTTTCACAGAACCGTGGTGAGAAAGGTGACCTTCAATGACTGTTTCAAACCGTAGCTCACCACATATTTACGCCTGAAAGTGTGCATGTGCAGAAAAAGATACCTAACGGGACGAGCACGTTGGGCATCCTTACCTAAACATGTCACCAGAATGATTGACATGTAGGAGGACCACTTATTTAGATGATCCACCCGGAAATAAAAGATCCTCCTCTATACCTTTAAGATGCTCTTGTAATCTACCATCGTTTTTTATAGGCTTATTCAAAACTGGTGGACTCGACAGAGGTTAAAGAGGGACCATGGCCACATACCCAAGGCCAGCCTCCCCCAATGGGAGAAGGACTACAACCTGCAGTCAATGAATGCTTATGGACTCTTTGATGAATACTTGAAGATGAGTAAGTTGAACCTCTGTTGAGCTTCTGTATATATTTTGTAATCTGCCTTTCAGAAAATAGTTAATATCAGCACTGGATTTTGAGATGACCTCAAATGCATTACAGAGCTTAATCCCTTATGGTATCATCAAATTTTCAAATAAAACATTTTTTCATTACGGAGCTGATCTGCTTCAGTTGTTGTACATGTTACGTAATTTTAACATCCATCTGCTCCAATTTTCTTCAGCACTCCTTTCTCTGCACATGATGTATAAACACACATTTCTTTTGGTGCATTGGACTGGAAAAACTCAGCTCAGTCAGACTAAAAAACTTTTTTTTCCTTAAATAATAGAGCTGTTGTCCATGATAAGACTCTTAAAAATGTCACAGGATTATACTGTTTTTTTAAGTGAATAGTTACCCTTTAGAATATAGAGACCCACTACCTTAAGAAACATTCACCTAAACATTTATATTATTGGAACATAGAAGTCCTAAAGCTTTTATTATGTATAAAGGCTCCTTTTTCTCCATTGGTCAGCAAAATTTTTTGTGTTTTGTTCTGTTTGATTTTTTTTTCTCAATGTTTACAATGTCTGAATATATATAAATAAACATAAAACGTTAAATAAACATATTAAAAAACAAAAAAAGTGTACAATGTCTGAATTAATTTAAATAAACATAAAAGGTTAATAAAAAAAAAAAGTTTACACTGTCTGAATACATTTTAGTAAACGTAAAATGTTAAATAAACGTATAAAAAAAACAAAAAAGTTAAGTGTCTAAAGAACATTTAAATAAACAGAAAACATTAAATAAACGTATTAAAAAACAAAAGTGTTCACTCTCTGAAAATATTTAAATAAACGTAAAACATGAATTAAACTTTCATTTCAAATGCTCACCAGAAGAAATCAACTCTAAACCCATCCCCTCTATGTCTTAAATTAAATGTTAGTCAAAATTAAACTCTGACTAAATAAAAAAAAAAAGACAAAAGTTCTTTCTAAGGCCTCCTTTTGTTATATAAACCAGGGACCATTTTCCCTTTGTCTTCAGAATAAAGGTACAGCTGCCATCAGGGGTGTAACTTTACCGCACAGCCAACATGAATAATTTCCATCTACTTTACAGAAATCCCCTCTGTCCATCCCTGACTCCCAGCTCTATACTCATTTAATCCGTAGCACCATCCTGCATTGATTATTTCAACTCCTGTCTGTGCTCTTGCTCTCTAGTCCCTACATAAATTTTCACTGTCTCATAACTCTGCCACCTCCATCACCACAACCCTATCTGCGAATCATATAACTCCTTTTAATTAAGAACATCTATTGCGTCCTATTAAATATTGCATTCACTTCAAATCAGTCTTGCCTCACCATGCCTCTCTGAACTCACCCTCAGATCTTCCTCCTCCATATCTAAGAATGTCTCTTTGAAATGTTGTATGTTGGATCTAAAAATGACTCATGTTCAGAAATGATATTGTCTTTGTTTGCAGGGTGTTAGAACAAGCCAGGAAACACTGGCAAACATGCACACATTAATCACACAGGAAGGTTGTTTTCATGCTTTATATTTTGAGAATCAATTAAGGAGTAATGGATGCAGTCTTATAGTGGAGCAAGTAAAGTAACTGAGGAATAAACAAAGGAAAACCAGAGCAGTGTTGAAAGGTGATGTGTTAGATAATGGAAGGTCTCACTGTCTAAGCCACTAAAAAAACAAATGTCAACAGACTCCTGAAGACGTGCTCTCTTTGTCTCAGTTTTGCAGTTTGGCTTCACCACCATCTTTGTGGCAGCGTTTCCTCTTGCTCCCCTCTTAGCGTTGATCAACAACATCATTGAGATCCGTCTGGATGCGTACAAGTTTGTGACACAGTGGCGGCGACCTCTGCCATCACAAGCCAAAGACATCGGTAAATGCAGGGCTATGTAAATTCTTTTAAAAATTCCTCTTCTCCATGTCGAACTTCTGTTTGTCTCAGGAATCTGGTATGGCATATTGGAGGGTATCGGCATCCTGTCCGTCATCACCAACGCCTTTGTGATTGCCGTTACCTCGGATTTTATCCCTCGTCTAGTTTACGCCTACAAGTACGGACCATGTGCTGGTCAGGGCCGAGCAGGGGAGGGGTAAGAGTCCATTAAGGAAGCAGAAACCACAATGGCGTCTGATATCCCCTTTAGACAATGCATGTGTTGAATGATATTATTTGTGTTCCTCAGGTGTATGATGGGTTACGTCAATGCCAGTCTGTCTGTCTTCCGGGTTTCTGACTTTGAAAAGAGATCCCAGCCAAGAACTAATGGCTCGGAACTTTTTGAAGAAGCTGTGAAGTATTGCAGGTAAAGTTTGTATGTGGACAATGAATAAAACGTAAAAAAAACAAGTTTTATTGCAGAGTTCTGATCTTTTTTGCACCTGCCAAACATTGCTAATTCTGAATTTAGATGTTTGTCAGTTTAACAGCATAAAAAAACTTTAGGTTGACATTTGACATCTGGAACTTTTCATCTCTTTTTGTGTACTCCTGAGAAAATATTGACCCTGTCATGAACTCCAATATGTCCAAAAGCCTACCAACATTTCTAAATTATGCTTGTTCTGTGACATAGACTTCAGAGCCTCGAAAGGGTTGAACAAACAAACAGAACTTTGTCGTATCTGTTAGCTGTGGGTCAGTTTGCTCTTTAGCCAATCAAATGAAATAGCCCCAGGATGGGTAAAATTTATCATCCTGCTGCATTTTTATATCAGATGAACGTTAAGAAACAACTAAAACTGCAGAAAATATACAACTTCAACCCTTTTTTTCCTCAGTGACAACTTCCACATTGAAGAGTGTTATGGTTACTGCAAAAAAACTTTGGTTCTTAAGCTCACCTGATGATTTTTGGTGCATCTGTAATATTTTCCACTTTATTAACAATTTTAATAATCTTTTGCTTTTGTTACCACAATGCTTTTTTTTTTTTTTTTTTTAACACAACAGGTATCGGGATTACAGGGAGCCTCCAGACTCAGATGAGCCCTACGCCTACACTCTACAGTTCTGGCACGTCCTGGCAGCCCGGCTGGCGTTCATTATTGTTTTTGAGGTCTGTGTAGAGAAATGTTAAAATATTGTCATTCAAAATTGCTGCTCATTGTCTGTCATCACTTTTTGTTATGATGTGAATAATATGGCAGCTGACTCTTTTTCTGCTGGACCTAGACCAGGTTACTGATCCCTAATCAGTTAATCAAGGTCCTTCAACATATCTCTGCAAATGAAGAAAACCGTGACACCAGATATTTTTTTTTGTTTCTTATTTAAATGAAATACTATTTTCCTTTAAAAATACCCCATCCTCACCAACAGACAATCTCTAGAATCGGTAGAATACAAAATCTGCAAAAGTTGAGGCCAGCATGTCATGTCTTACAGCAATGAATGAAAATGTAAGGAGGATTAAGTAAGACATTTTCTGATATTCCAATTATCTAAGGGGCCTGTGCTCCACCCTCCCTTGCGAAACAAAGTGAGGTTAACTTTATTTTATATAGCAAATGATATCCATAATGACTGACATATCAGGAGAGCCTTTAGTGTGCTCACAGAAGATCTGTGCGATCTCAAGAAACATAACCAATAAAATGTTTGCATAAACTATTTATATTAATTTAACAAAATAAAAGTTCAGTTAAAATGAATAAAAATGACAATCTAAAGGATTTTTGTGCCTTTACAAGAAGGAGTTTTGTTATAGCTGGCAAAGATAAGGATCAAATAAGCAACTTAAAATTCTGTCTAAAATCTATTTTCATTATTTCATTGGTTCTCCAGATCAGTGAACTGGTTCAAATTTGAAAGTTAGCTGGTTTTGGCAAAACCAAAGCCAAACTTTGTCTCTCTTCCTATTGAAACCTATTATAAGCTGTTTATTTTTTAGCTAAACATGCTAAGTCTTTTAAATGCTAACATTTGTAAATAAAACCAAGTAGTGACAGATGGATCTTCTCCGCCTTTTACAGCTGCTTTTTGTATCTCTGCTTCTGTCTTCTTGAACCCCAGTCGGCCTCAGCAGATGGCCGCTCACACTGAGCCTGGTTCTGCTGGAGGTTTCTTCCTGTTAAAAGGGAGTTTTTCCTCTCCACTGTCGCTACAAGCATGCTTAGTGTGGGGGATTGTATTTGAGTCAATGAGTCAATGCAATCAACTGGTTTTCCTTAGATAGAAAACTTTGTATCAATTTGACTGTATGATCTGGTTGAACTGTAAAGTGCCTTGAGATGACATGTGTTGTGAATAGGGTTGTCAAAAGTATCGAAACTCAGAAAAGTATCGATACTAAAATGTTGTATCCGGATACAATACTCGTTTTTAAAAGTATCGATACAGTGCTACCACCAGTGGCACCTAAGCAGTCATTCATCTAAAGTGCAGAATAGAGGACAATGCACTTTCAGAGCACTGTGTGATTAAATAATTCTGTGCACTTTTCAGTTTCACACTTTTTTTTTGTAAGAACTGCAGCTGCTGAGAATTATTTTTGTTTCTTAACTGGTTTGGCCAGTTTCATTGTTATGTGTGCGAAGCATAGCCAAGGAAAGAACACTTAATTTTAATTTTATACGTTTTTTATCAAGCTTGCTTAATATAGTGCACAGCATACAACCTTTATTGTATTTATTTATTGTATTTTATTTATTAATGAAAATATTTCTCCTTGTGGTATCGAAAATGGTATCGAGTATCGAATATGTTCCTTAGTATCGGTATCGAGTTGAAAAGTTTAGTATCGTGACAACCCTAGTTGTGAATTTGGCGCTATATAAATAAACTGAATTGAATTGAATTGTTATACAGAACAAAAAGGTCCTAAATATCTGAAAAAGAAAAAATAAAAATTTTTTTTGTTTGTTTTAGGAACATATACATTTCTTTTGTAATCAATTATAACGTAGCAATTACGTTCATTGGTAAAAAAAAAAAAATCACTTGAAAATGAATTGATGGTAAATAAATTTTTAAAAGACTATCGAAATCCCTCTTGAGTTTGTCAGCCAATGGTAGCAAAGGCGCGCTCTGAAACTAACAGTATTAACCAATCAGAAGAAGAAGGGGGCGGATCTTAGGAAAGGGCGTACCTCCTCCTCTCGTTTCTTGCACAAGTCGCAAGATTGTGGTACAGTGCTGAAGTTTCAGACGGAGAGCCACCTTGCACCATTTACGGCTCTATTCAGCGGAGAGACGTGTAAAAAAGTGGAAAAATAAATAAATTAAACTTTGTGTTTGGAGTGAAGAACAATAAAGAGAAATGAATTGCATAGAGTGGGCACAATGCAGTTCATGAACTCCAGGGTAGATGTCACAACCACAGATAAAGGTCTCAAAATTAAATGGCGCGGGGAATTGCTGAGGGAGACAGGGCGAGATGGCAAGCGATTAAGCAGCTGGTACAGGAAGGTGAACCAGGCGCTTGCTTGTGCACGCTGTGCTCCAGGAACGCTTATATACGAAATATAGATGCACTTATGATCACAGATTAAGGAAAGCATTATTTATTTATCTACAGAATACAACATTAAAAAATAGAAATTTATGTAAAGTAGTGTTGCTACTCACTTCTGTCCGTTTTATATTTATATATATACTGTATATATATATATATATATATATATATATATATATATATATATATATATATATATATATATATATATATATATATATATATATATATATATATATATATATATATATATATATATATATATATATATATATATATATATAAAATGATTTTTTTTGGGGGGGTGGAGTAATAGCATGACTAGATTAAGGTTTCTTTGATACTAGATGGCATTCAGATGTTGAAACCAAAGCTTCAAAAACCTCAGCCATACAGTGTATTAGATCAGTACCACTGATTTGACCCACCAGTCAAGTAGAATTTCACATTCTGGAAATCATAGCCTTCTAATGGCAGGTTTGTTTTCACAGCATATGGTCTTCGCCATTAAGACCCTGATTGCTTATCTAATCCCGGATCTACCCAAGGACCTGAGGGACAGGATGCGCAGAGAGAAGTACCTGATCCAGGAGATGATGTACGAGGCTGAGCTGGAGAGACTGCAGAAGGAGAAGGATGAGAGGAAGAAGAAAAACAAGGCTCACCATAAGGAATGGCCATGAATATTACTGTCTTTGGATGGACTGTAAGAGAAAGTAATTATCCTCTTTAGAACCTTGAAACCAATAGGTGCCAATTGCATATTTCTGAAGGTCAGCTTATTAGATGTTTTCCATCATTTCCAACATTAGCTTTCAATATCTTTAACCATTGAAATCTGTTTTTTATTAAGTTAGTTTTTTCATAAAAAAATAATAATTAAAAAGAATGTGATAAAAAACTAAGCATAAGAAAATGTAAAAAATAAACTACAATAAAAGTTAAAATTAAAGTAAATTGAATTATTTTTTTAATTGTTTATATATATTTATTTGATTATTGAAGGAAATGATAAAATAATTTATTTTTATTTATTTATATTTATTTATTTAGTAGATTTAGGGCCAATAGTCCTCCATAGACCTGTAAATTATATGGTACTTTTTATTTATGGTTTAACTCCATTGCACCAGTTAAAAATATTTTACATCTTATTCATTTTTTTATATTTTCAGAAATTTACATTTTACAGCCGAATTCACTAAAACAGAAGCTACAACATGAAGTAATTGTTGTGTCAGACCAACTTTCAGATTGTTTTCTGTCGATAAGTTGGCTTTGTAAATGATCTCTCTACTCAGATCCTTTCTCCTTTTTTTTTAGGCTCTCATCTGGTAACTTCAAAATAAAGGAGGAGCATCCAGGGTTCTGCATGTTCTGGACCGACACGTCTTCCTCCTGCCATGTTAGACCAGCACCTCCTGTTTGACGGTTCCAGAACTGCATCCAGCAAAGAGTGATCCGTGGAGCCTCTGTTAGATCTACTCAGCACGTGGGGAGTTTTAGCAGCAGATTTTTTCCATATTTTCTCTCTTAATCAGACTCTTAGCAGTATTCTGCTTCAGCTTCTGAATGTAGATCACAAGCAAAAATAAACTATTCCTCTGTAGGTGACTGGAGCTGCTCCGCAGAGCGTAAGGAAGGATACCTTGTTTACATTTCTCCTTGTTTAAGGGGGTTCATTTTTGCTTTCTTGTAAATAAAACGTGGAACTGAATGAATGTCCGGCCGTACGCTCTGCTGTAGTGTAGTGCAATAACAATAAAAGTTACTTAGACAAGATTTATTCCTTTCAGGCTGCTGTGGTACTTCCTACAGTTTGCTGTAATGTAGTAATAAAACATGATTTGTTTTAAATCTGTTTCCTTGTTTTGAAATTTTCACCAAAGCTGAAAAAAACAAATTTCAGATTAATTGAATTTCCTTTTTTAATTAATTTATTTTATTCAATTAAATTTATGTATACTACTATTATTTTCAGCTGTCTATTTTATTTTAAGCTAAATTTGGACACAAAGGTAATCTGCTTGTTTAAACTGAGTCTGTTTTGTTTTTACAGTTTCAGTATGTTTTTCATAGGAAGACGATTGTTGGCGCACTTCCTCCAGCCTCTATTTTCTGTCTAAACAAGAACTGGTTCTCTTAAACCAAATTGGCAAACTAAATGTGCCATTGTACTGCAAAAACGATCTAGAAATAAGTAAATTTTTATTTAATTAGGTGTATTTACCCTTAATTTGAGTAGATAAATAAGATGATCTGCCAATGGAATGAGTATTTTTACTCTTAAAATAAAATAATTAGATAATATGCACTTGAAATAAGACAATGCAATTGTGTTTTCTTATTTTAAATGTAAATTGTCTTGTTCCATTGGCAAAATGTCTCTTTTGCCTCCTCAATCCAAGAACAAATGAACTTATTTTAAGAAAAAATGACTTATCTAGATTTTGATTTTTTCCAGTGAACCACTCAGAGACCAAGGGAAAAAGTTTAACAGGTTTATTGAATGTTGATAAAACAAAGAAGTAGGAGCTGGAACTGGGTGGACTGGTGAACCGGAACCGGAAAGTCTGAAGGAGAGGTCACAGGGATTAGTTCAGGGACCGTAGGAAAATTTACTGAGGCTTGAATATAGCTGGAGAGAAACTCACGTTTGAAGGGGGCTCTTGTTAATCCTTGAATCTAGTTTGTGGGGAATTAATCCAGAGGAAAGGGAACTCGTTAGAGATCAGAAAGGTAGACTTACGTTGGACCCAGAGGAGTAAAGGAGCAGACTGTCACTTGGTTTTCTGAAGAGGACTTGAACCGATCATATGGAGGTTTACCCCTGCTCAGTGTGTCCTCAGTAATCCTTCCATGGGGAGAAGGTCCAGGTTATCCAGATACACGGGAAAGGCTTCCTGCCGAAGAGCAAAGACAAAAACAAGATTAGCTTCGGTCAGACTCTGCTAATCTCAGCTTGGCTAGAGTACCCAAAACTGGCAAACACTCTGGCGTCGAGGTAGTGACAGCCCGCTGCTCAAATACTCCTCCGGTAATCATCCAACGTGCCGCAGGTATGCAGGGAGGCCCAACAAGGAACAGGGCACCACCTGGTGTTGGAGAGAAGAAAACACAAAAACAACCCACACAAACTGGATTCTTAACAGTTAATAGATAATTTTTTTTGTCAGTTTGTGTTTTTCTGAAACTGATTTAAAAATAATAAAGGTACCCTTTGGTTGTGGCCCTTATTGGTTCAGCTGGTAGTTTCTGCCTGGGGACAACTGATATGGGTTTCTGATGAAGATATTTATCTACTGCAGTTTAGATGGAACTCCCCCTCAAACATCCTGAAGTGTTGGTACCGTCTATAACTAAACCATCTCCATAGATGACAGTTTGTGCAGAAATATGTTGTTTCTGTCTTTCGCTTTTTTTCACTATTGGTTAATTTATCATTTACTATATAAAAGTGAGTATTGGAAAAAGGAGCAAATCGCTCATGATTTTCCATTTATAAAAAAGCCTCCCAGTTAAATATGACAAGATTGCCACATAAAAAATCTAAACAAATACTAAAACCAAAGTAAAAAAGAGTAAATTGCATGTTAAAGACATTGTAAAGTCAATGTAGTTTGTAGTAAAGTGCTTTTTTGTTACGTGATGTCCTTTTTATTACCTGATTGCTCCTCTTAGAGGACAGATGTTCAAACAGGAAGCAAAGGATGCTTAATGGTGGCGGAAGTCTTTGTGTAACAAATCAACACCTAAAGTCAGAGTGACGGAGAGGAAAACTTGGTTTAAAATGTTCCTTTCAGCAGAAGCCTTTCCAAACTTTACAGCAATCGCATCTGTTTCTATCACACAACAGTAGGAATTTAACAGCTTCTTACTAATAAAGTCCTTCAATTTATACTGAAAGAAAATCCACTGTTGAGACTTTCTGATAATCTCACTGGTATTCAAATTTGAGATAAAAGCTGTTTGACAAAGAAACACCAAGAATTTCTAACTCTTAGCAATTTGAGCTACCAGAGTACTGTACAGTATTTATAAAAACAGGTTACACCTTATTGTTTTTTGTTAAAAACGATAATAAAAGGTGAGTTCTCTACCAAGCTGTTTTCCTCACTGCAAGACACTGAATTTTCCAACTCAGTTTTGCAACAAAAGTCGTCATATGAGGTAATCAAACCAGTGATGCAGGGCTTTGCGTCAATATTCAACCCCCTTAAACTCTGAACTTTTGCCAACTTTCAGGCTAAATGTAAATCTTTTGTGAAGAATCAAGAAAAAGTGGGACACAATCATTAAGTGGAACAAACTTTATTGGATATTATAAGCTTTTTTATCAAATAAAAACTGGAAAAGTGAGTGTGAAAAATTCTTCAGTCCCTTGAGTTAATTCTTTGTTCAGCCACCTTTTGCTGCGACTGCAGCTGCAAGTTACTTGGGGATTGTTTGTATTAGTTTTGCAGATTGGGCAAAAATATCAGTCTCTCATTCTTCCATTCAAAGCAACTGGAGCTCAGTGAGGTTGGATGGAGAGAGTTTGTGAACAGCAGTTTTCTGTTTTAATTCAGGTCTGGGCTTTGACTTGGCCATTCTAAAACCTAAATATGTTTGTGAACAACTCCATTGTCTTGTTGGAAGATATATCTCCGTCCCAGTCTCAGGGCTTTAGCAGACTTCAACAGGTTTTCTTCCAGAATGGTCCTGATTCTTAGCCTGGGTGCCAGTCAGAACTTAGTCCCGCCCACAAGGTTTGAGGTCGGGAAGTTCGGTCTGGCATTGCTCCATAGTAGCGCGAGTATGATCGCCCACTCTCTGGCGATCCAATCAAATTGTCAGGGCGGGCTTTATACGATGATGGACAGATGATCAACAGTAACGTAATCAACCATGTGGCCAATGCGCGCTTGGGTGACAACAACAATGGCTGCTGCCGGAGAGTTGAGGTGAGTAGATTCTGCTATTAGGTCTGTTCTAGAAGATATCGACAGCAAATTAATTTTAAAAGAGGAACAGAGAAACGCGATCAGGGCTCATCTTCTTATTCTAGGCGTGCAACTGCACGCTTTGATTTTTGTTGACAACAACTATGCGTTGCTTAACATACGTCAAGCACTCCGTTGCTCTTATTGTTTGTAGGTCTATCCAATTGAGTGCAGAGGCATTTTTTTTCCTGGTTCATTCAAAACACGCCCCATAATCACAGCTCTATGGAGCAGTATCAGACTCATATTCTGACTAGAATTGAGTAGGACTACGTCAGCCTACCTGATTCTGGCTCCATCCATCAATTTCAACCATCTTCCCTATCCCTGCTAAAGAAAAGTAGGCTCAAAAAATTATTATGTCCCCACTATGTGTGAGGGTGGTGTGTTCAGGGTGATGAGCTGTGTTTTTTCCGCCAAACATAACGTTTTGCACTGTAGCACCTTCTTCCACACGTTTAGTGTGTTTCCCAAGTGGCTTGTGGCAAACTTTAAACAAGACTTTTTATGGATATCTTTCTTTCTTAGATAAAAGCCAGATTGGTGCAGTATACGACTAATTGTCCCTATTTACAGTCTCCCACCTCAGCTGTAGATCACTGCAGTTCATCCAGAGGAATAATGGAACTCTTGGCTGCATCTCTGATCAGTCTTCTCCTTGTTTGAGCTGAAAGGTCAGAGGGACGGCAGGGTCTTCATAGATTTGCAGTGGCCTGAATCTCCTTCCAATCCAATATTATTGCATGCACAGTGCTCATTGGGATGTTTAAAGCTTTGAAAATCTTTTTGTATCAGCATCCAGCTTTAAACTTCTCCACAACAGTATATTGGACCTACCTGGTGTGTTCCTTGTTCTTCGTGATGCTCTCTGCACTTTAGCCAGACCTCTGAGACTATCACAGAGCAGGTGCATTTATAAGGAGATGTGATTAAACACAGATGGATTCTATTTCTTAACATCAGTCATTTAGGTAAAATTGGATCACATGCACAGATAGACACTAGGTGGTGCTGGAGCACCTGTCCTTTTCCCCTCTGGACAAAAAAAGTTCCCTCCTGAAATAGTGTTTTGTAAAGTCTAGATTTTTATAATTAGGCTCCATGAGACATGTGGCACCATCTCTTTTTTTTTTTTTTCCCACGTTTATTTATGCTTTTACATGTGGCACAATGTACAGATGGAGCAACAGTTATACAGTTAGTAAAGTACCTTTAGCATACAAACATAATTGGGCTAAAACAAACCCAAATAAACCCACATACAAACACACTCAATACACAAAAAAAAAAGAATAGATAAAGAAATAAGCAAATGATCAAATCAAAGCAAGCACAATGAGATACTGGGGACAGATATATAAAAAAATAAAAAATAAGTTGGTAGAAGTAAAAAGGTCCACAGTATTAAAATTATGTAAATGTTTTCCCTCAGTCCGTACATACTAAAAAAAAAAAAAAAAAAAAAGGAGAAAAGAAAAACTTCTCAGGTGCCAGGAGACCCCACTGTTGATAAATCAGACAGACTTAACTCAAAGAAGAAGACAAAAGAAAAAATAGATTAGAATAATAAACATCAGCTACATACATGCAACTTTATCAGTCTGGAATATTAGGGAAATCAATCTTCCTAAGGGCTTTTAACAAGGGACTCCACAAACCCAAAAATCTTGCGGAAGAGCCTCTTAAGGTAAGACGGATCTTCTCAAGTTTAATAAAATACAATGTGTCTCGAAGCCAGTGGATGTATGATGGGGGTTGAGGCGACTTCCATTTCATTATAATCACTCTCCAAGCCAGAAAGGTCAGGAAAGCCAAGGAGGACCTCTGAAGAGAGGACAAGATGGGCTGTGGAGGTGCAACCCCAAACAACGCAATCAGGGGAGACAAAGCTCAAATTTTACACCAAAAACATCCGATAGAACAACAAAAACTTTAGACCAATAATTAGAGAGCTAAGGACAGAGCCAGATGGTGTGGATCAAATTGGCTGGGGAATGTTGGCATCTATCACAGGCTGGAGTAACGCTGGGGTAGAACTTGGCTAGACGTGCTTTAGTATAATAAGTACGATACACAAGTTTGCACTGAATTAGATTATGTCTGGCACAAATAGAGGACTTGTGTACCAATGACAAGATAAGTGTCCAGAGATCCTCTGAAATGTCCCGTCCAAGATCTTCCTCCCAAAGTGATCTAAGGGAGTTCAGGGTGTGTGGACGGAAAAGCGTAATTTGATTGTAAATAAGAGAAATGGCCCCCTTCAGTTTGACAATAGGTTTCAGAAAAGTGTCTAAAGGAGAATCCCCGGGAAGGTTGGGAAAATTTGAATAAGTAGAACGGACAAAACTGCACGCTTGTAAATATCTAAAAAACTGACATCGCGGGATATCAAATTTCTCGGAGATTTGTTGGAATGAGGCGAAAGTATTATCAATGTACAGATCGTAAAAGGTTGAAATTCCTTTTCTCCGCCATGACAAGAAAGTATCATCTGCGAGGGACGGCGGGAACGTATGATTCAGGGCTATAGGGGCATAGACAGAAAGAGATTGCAGACCAAAATGCCGCCTAAATTGTCTCCACAGTCTTAAGGATGCGTCAACTATTTTATTAGAGGTATAAGGATTAGTTGAAGATTGCAATGGTGAATGTAGTAAGGCTGCCAAGGACACAGGTTTTACAGAATTTGCCTCTATATTAAGCTAAGTCGGAGAGGAAGGGCTATCTTACCGGAGCCAGTATCTAAAAGTCTAATGTTTGAAGCCCAATAGTAATATCTAAAGTTTGGCAAGGCCATCCCCCCAAGCTTTTTAGGTCTTTGTAAGAGTTCAGTGCGTATACGAGAGGCCTTCCCATTCCAAAGAAATTTAATAATTATACTATTAAGTTTATTGAAAAAGGACGCATGTGGCACCATCTCAATAGAGCCTTGCCCTGATGAAGGGCCAGCAAACCATCCAGGTATCTAAACACGCATGTTTACCTCCTTAGTTTATAGAATAAAGTCTTTAATGGCCTCTACTATGCGCCAAGGAACAGTTTAAAATGCAACTCTTTCATTAAATTAGAAGAAAAATTGAATTTACAGCATCTCATAGATGTATTTATTGATTTG